ATCATTAGCAGCAGACAATGCAGTGGTGTGATCTTGATGTAGCCAACAAAGGGGAGGTAAGATCCGATACTGAACCTAGTGGGTTTTGCAATAAAGCAATGAGGGTATATGGGGATATGCTGAAACACTACATTCACACTGCAAGCTTATAAGTACAACAGGAGTTAATTTGTGATGGGAACTTACAACCCAAAAAGAAGTAGAAGAAGGGAATGATGAAGCAAAGAGAGTGTAGGAAAAGACCAAACATGGAATTGAAACAGCTGCCAGCTGGCACAGAAAAGGAGCCCAGGATTTGCTGTTAAGTGACATTAGTTTACTTCTAGCTCTGTCTTTATTGATGAGGCTAGAGCATGGTTATGCTGATAACAAGTAACTCTCAAATGTCAGAGGTTTAAAACATTCCTTTCCTTCATTTTTCCATTCCAAGATAATCACAAAATGCCTGGATGTTTAATTCATCCTAGTTATTTAGACACAGGATGATTAAGCAGCCACTACCTTGAATAGATACTGTTTGCAATGCTAGAGGAAAAGGAGAGTTGAGGAAGATTTTCCAAATGCAATCAAATGCTCAAGCTAGAATGATTTCCTGGAACTTCTTATAACTCATTAGTTAGAACCATATACAAAGTCCCATCAACCTCAAAAGGACTAAGCTATGAAATCATATCTTCCTACCAAGAGTTCACAATGTGAGGAGAATAGTAACACGTAGATTAAATTCCTACAAAACGTATTCCCTGTGTTGTGCATTAAATTATTTAGGTGCTATGTATGAAAACCTAAATTCTGCATCCTAACTTTCCAGAAATATAAAATTAAATAGTTACTGTCAGTCAACCCCAGTTTTCTTATCATTAAAACAGTGTCCATTACACTCAACCATCTTATCTCAACACACACACTGCTGATTCCCAATGAAGATCACTAACAGCTCCTCCTAAGATGACAATTTCTGTTCATCATGTTTAAGTTCAGAAGAGACTAGAGAAGTCAGGGAAAACACTTACTATATGGGAATATCTATATAATTAAATGATCTAATGAATGGTATAAAGCCAGCCCAGTAACTTATAGGCAGTAAATGCCTGGTAACTCGTTACATTCTGTCTGTACCAACTTTTCTGAGTTTTGCAATTGTGAGATGGCTCAAAATATGGGAGGCTTTAGGAAACTAACAAAAACACAAAGTAATCAATAGTTACTACACTGTTTAACAACAAGTTTACATTTACATACGTGCAGATAGTGTAGTAACTATTGCTTCCTAGTGACTTTTCAATGGGAAGCTGTTCTAAAACAGGGCTTCAAAAGAAAAATTCATTTCAGTCCAGCTAAAAGGACATTGGAATGCTGTGGTTCTGTTAAAAGAGGATCAAGAGGAACTTTCTGAAAGAACATTAGCTGTTCCTACGGAGGTCAGTGGCACATTGTTTTACTATCATTATCATCTTTATCTCCTTGGTCCATCTTCTGATTGCTGGCCAAAATTTGCTTTTATCTGGCTTTCAATAATCTCATTAAGTTTGCCTGCTGCCTTCACTTGTGCGTTAGAAAGTTCTTTTAGCTATGTTTAATGGTGTCCTTTGGATTTTCTGGGATTAATATTCCCAGCAAGTCAGGATTATTGTAGGATTAAATTACATCAATTAATGTATATGAAAGTTGCTAGCAAAAAGTAGGCACTGTTTAATTTTAAATAATAATAATCAATAAAAGAACCACTTTGAGGATTTATGTCTGTATTTATACTTTAAAATTCTAGAGTGGTTATGAGTTCCTACATTTGATGTTCCACAAACTCTTGTAGGATAAACACATTAGATGAAACACATGATCTGTTCCCTCAGATATACTGTGGAATATAATTAAGATTTTTATAGTTAGCATGATGAGTTTATATAGAATTCATTTTACCTATAGACACAAATATATTTTCATTCATATTAATGCATATAGTTGTAAGCAATGTAAATATGTACAAGTATTTATATTTAGATCTACAATATTTATATGTAATCTGACAATTCTTTCCTTTCACTTTTTACTCCCAAGAGGATCCCTTATACAGTTGGTATACAAATGTTTTTTTTTTAAAATGAGTTCTGTACATATATTTGTTCCGATTCAAAGTAATAAATGATACTTCTCTGGGAAAATGTGGAAAATGGCTAATCAGAACCCAACATTTACAGTATCAATTATTTATTTTACGGTTTTCTAGTCAATAACTAATAGTTAATACTAGTGAAACCTAACCAAATTGAAAATGTCCTTCTCAATTCTCAGTCTTATAGAAATTTATACTCTTTACAATTGAAGTAAAACTAGGAAGATTTGAAAAAGAATAAGAGGAAATTAATTTAAATAATGTTATTAAAATAATTTATTCTAAAATATATTAACTATGTTTCATTGATTTCACTCTGTTAAAATTATAGATAAGAAAATCATACCTAATTAATGTATTAATCATAACTACATTAACACAATAAAAATGTAGAGATAGATGATATTTCTCATCATAATTCTGGCCCTATTCTTGTTAACAGATGGAGTCATTCATTCCACATATATTTTTTCAGTGCTTACCATGTGTCAAATACTATTCTAGGTGCTAGAGTATAGGAAATGAATGGTAGCTGACATCATAATGGAAGGAAACATCCAAAATGCAAATAAATAAGTGAGATATATCTTGACAAACTGTGATCAGTTTGACAGATAAAAATAAATCAGAAAGGGGAGCTAGGAAATGTCAATACAATGGCTGTTCATTTTCAATTACAGTCTGAGGTCAACATGAGCCTAAATGGAATCAGAGCCAAACAAAAAGAAATGACCAGAGATTCCTGGGATTAAATAATGACTGAAAGAGACAAAAATAAAGGGTATTATGAGATTAACCTTCAAGGTCTCAGGGAAAGAAATAGCTCCCTGTGGTCAAGTGGAGGGTTAATAGTGAGTAGAAATGATCTGGTGATTTCTGTAAGGACTTATACAAACACAACACTTCATTACTTTCAAATTCTCTCTCTCTCTCTCTCTCTCTCTCTCTCTCTCTCTCTCTCTCTCTCTCTCTCTCTTTCTCTGTCTGTCTTCCTTTTTAGCAGATTTCACCTCTCCTAGATCTTTAAAATTTAGGTATTACCATGACACTCTGCCTCTATGCTTATAAATATCAAAAGCCACTTATTATTTCTACTTATAGTTGAAGATACAGATGAAAAACACTGAGAACTGATTTTGATCAATTGTGGTAGACATTCATGTTTCTAAAACAGGTTTAACACATTGTGTTCTTTCCTTTTAAAAAAGGCTTATTAAATCTCAGAGCAATGCAGAAAAGTAATTTACCTTTATCACTTAAACGTAATTCAAAATATTTTGTTTATAAATGCACATTAATATATAAAACTTGTGGAATTATATTTAGCAGGGGAACAATCAAAAAGCATATTTATTAATACTACCTGTCATATTTCTGCTAATAAATCAATATCACATTATCTACTATTTTTCATGGCACCAGGATTATAGAATTGGAAAGCCGTAGATTCTTACCTCCAGAAACATAATTTAGGGCACACAAACAGCACAGGATAAATGTTTACTGTGTATGACACAGTGTGATCCAATATGCTGTATTAACAATGTGCTTTAAAGCACACATACCAAGTCTTGTTATTTTTAAGTATTGTGCTGAGATAAAAATTAGTAGTAGTATATGACACAGGGGAAATGACTGATAACTAAAAGATAGAACAAGGCTTATACTATAATTGAATTTATCCAGAATAGAAACTATAAAAAAATATTTTACATGTGGCTGAATTTCTACAATGATTTTTGACATTGCAAAGTAGTTTTACATTTTACTTAGTATCTTTTTCCTATCAATCCTATCTTGCATGCTGTGCCAATTAATATATTTAATAAATGTATTCATTCAAAAATTCCCTTTGAATTGTGAGAAATTTTATTTCTCACCTGTTTAATGAAAATAGATGCATCTTCATAAATTGTTGCGAAGGTTAAGGGAAACAATACATAAGAGTCTAGCTTAGTGTCAGAATAAAAATATCCCATTAAAAGTTAGCTATTTTATCAAAATGCTATAATAATATGAAGGAATTTCAGCAAAAATATAAACAATGTAAATGCCAAGAGCATGTAATGAATTTAGGGGAAAAATCATTATATTTATTTCAAAAGTGTTTTTTCTGAAGACAAAAAGCACAAGAAATTTAACAAATATATATTTTCTTCCATAACTAGCAAGTTATTTTTGTATTTTTCCACTTTATGTCTAAACCAAAATGTGTTATAATGTTTTAATAAAAAAAGCACTTGAGGATGTTATTTGCATCATAATGATCTGTTATTAAAATAAAATTATGATAAAAGTACTAACTTATTTTCAATATACAATCTCTATAAATTATATCATAACTAAATGTCAATTTACTTTATACTTGAAAATATTTAGCATAAATGAGACATTTTTCCCAATGGTAGACAACACAAAATTGTAATTCTTGATGAAATGATTCCTATTAAAAACTAATCCTTTGCTAATCTATATATCTCCAGATGGCAATAGACATCATTTTTTTGTATATTGATGGCAAATTCAAGAACACAACACATGTTTTAGTTTAAAATTTTCTAAACTTAAGATAAATATGGAAGTAGTGAAATCTGCTTGGTTAACTCTTAATATATTTGCATTTTAGAAATCCACTACAATTACTTCATGTAAACTTTAAACATATATCTTAAATGAACCATACATTGCCAGAAATATTTAATTCCAAAACTGAAAATTTCTAAAATTACCACAATTATATTCTTTAAAATGTGCATTTTTTATAATATGGCTATTATATTCTGAAAGCATGCTTTGAAATCAGTGCTCCCAAGTAATAAAACAGACAACTAATAGCTAAATCTGTAATTTTTAGGCATTATGAGCAAATTCAGAATGGTCACTGTACCTTGTGTCGCAATCTTATTAGAGGTTGATAGGATTTAAGGCCATATCCTGTTTCTTTGACCGGCCTTCCTTCTGACTCCAGAAAAATTAATCCAAGAACCAAAACAGTAGACCAGCACTTAAACATCCTTATTGCTTTTCACCTGTGAAAATTGACATTATAAATAATCAGAAAAGCATCCTATACTGAAGAAATGTTTCCTGAAATATTCAATAGCACATGGAAATAGGTCTAATCAAAATTTGCTGGTTATTTCCCAAATAGGTAAACTTCCCCAAATAAATATGATCCCCTTGTCTATAACAAATACTGCTTACTTGTTTGTTTCACTCATAGTCTACAAAATATGTAAAAATATAGGGACTGTTAAAAATGAATTGAGGAAAAGGCAAAAACAGGTTGAAAGAAAATAAAAAAAAAATATTCTAAGTATCTATAAAGAAAACAGATTATCAACATATTTGTAAATCTTAAACACCTCTGAGTTTGTTGAATAAACCTTAATAAATCTTTAACTATTACAACTCATTGGTAAATTTTTTAGAGGTTAATAAGGTAATCTCTCTAGTAGGTACTTAAAATGAGGTATAACAGAAATTATGCAGATAGGTTACACTGAGTTACAAATACATTTTCCAATTGTATCTAAAATGGCATTTCCGGGCCTCCCCTGTGGCGCAGCGGTTGAGCTCTGGGTTGCGAAGCTGCCTGCAGTCTCTGCAGCACTGGTTCAATCCCCGGCTGCTCCCCGGCCACCAGAGGAGGGTCCCACATGGCGCGCAGACCTCTCCTGCCGCCCGCTGCTCCCCTCCGCAATGTACTACGGTCCTTCTGCCTGCTCTGCTCCCAGCTCTGGCTCTGGTGAATTCTCTCACCCTCCCGCACTTCTGACTCTACCCAGTGCTTGTATAAATAAATAAATAAATAAATAAATAAATAAATAAATAAATAAATAAATAAATAAATCTTTAAAAAAAAAAACGTTTAAAAATAAAAAAATAAAAATAAAAAATAAATAAAAAAAAATAAAATGGCATTTCCTAGAAAATGGCCTTACACAAGCTTTATTTTTTTAAGATTTTTTTTTTTAATTTATACAAGAGCTGGGGTACAGGTCAGATGCGTGGGAGAGTGAGAGGATTTACCATAGATAGAGCAGGGAACAGAACAAGCAGACTGACCGAAATACACTGCTGAGATGAGCAGCAGGTGAGACAGGAGAGGTCTGATGCGCCATGTGGGTTGCTCCGAGGCCAGCAGGGATCGAACCAGCACTGCAAGAGGCTGCGGACAGCTTAACAGTGCTGCGCTCAACCGCCTGTGCCACCAGGGCGGCTCCATACACATGCTTTGAAGTAAAAGTGCTATGGCTCTTTCCGGTGTCTATATTTTTATTAATAGATATACCAGAAAAATTATAAATGATATATATTTATTTATAATCATATAAATGTCATTTCACAAATAAATCTATGCCTTGTATTCAACTCTATTCCTTCCATTCTACTACTTTTGCCAACAGTTTGTTCCTACTGTGACAGTAGATTTTTGTCCTCTGAAGCCAGTCTCTATGTCTGACTTCTTGAGAAACTTCACAAATTGACTAAGCCTGTTATTTATGTTCTGCTTCTTCAAATATTCTTAAGTCACCTATATATTAACATAATTTCTCCCCTCTACTTGGTGAATTTTTTGAAAGAGTTGTATATTTCATTTTATCCATTTTCTTACACTAGGCTGCTTTAATTATGCTTCCCCCCCACCATCACTCTATCAAAATAACATTTTTTTTTTCAAGAAAAGGTTACTTCAATCGGTATCTATGATACCCTCTCTTCTGTTTCTAAGAAGCTTATAGAAAAACCATCCTAATCTTTATGCAAGTTCATGTATTCCTTTACCTACTTTCCCATTAAATATATATTTTATCAAATTTCATTTTTAATCATTTAGTATGTTCCATTTACTCAGATTAAGTTACTTCAGCACAATCTATGGTGTATGTGTGTATATCTATGTGTGTATTAAAATATATGGCCAGGGCCTCCCTGGTGGTGCAAGGGATTAAGACACAACCTATGAAGCTCGCCACAGCCACTGCAGCATGAGTTCGATCCCTGGCCAGTGAGGTGACCCACATGGCACAGCAGACCTCTCCTGACTCACCCGCTGCTCCCCTCAGCAGTGTGTTTCAGTACATCTGCCTGTTCTGTTCCCCACTCTGTCTCTTGTGAATCCTCTCATTTTCCACATCTCTAGCCTGCACAGTTCTTCTGTGCATAAATCTTAAATACATATATATATGGTCATATATATAGATATATATAGATATACATATACATACATACATATACATACATACATATATATACATACATACATATATATACATACATACATATATATATATATATATATCTCTTCTGATCTCCAGGTTGGTTTAGCTAGATTACCTAAAAGCTCTACCCTTATGCTTCAAAAGCAACACTCCATAGAGTATACCTTCCTTCCCATGCCCCAGAAAGTCATTTTTCTTGATTTCATTTATAAATTTACTTAAGCCAGAAACAAAGCAAACATCCTTGACAATTCCATACCCTTATCCTTTCATATTAAACCCATCACTAAGTTCTGCTACTCCTACCTTCAACTGGCTCTCAAACACCAGTTCCTCTCTGAGTCAGTTGTCACAACTCTAGCTCGAGTTCTCAGCACCACTTCTCCACTGAACTATCCCAATCACAACATGACTGGCCTTTCATATTTATGCACCTGCAACTTCAATCCATTCACATACCATAGCCTGAGTGATCAGGTCAACTAATGTTACTGCTTTTGCTAATAAATTTAAGATATACTCATCTCTGGATAGGACATAAAATCAATGATATAACCCACAAGCTCCCTAGTATAGGTGCTATATGACTTTTTCTTCCATTAAATAACTGCTTTCCAGCTACATTAATCTTCATTCAGTTCTTTGTATTTATTTTGCCCATTCCTGCTATGAGGCTTTTGTGAGCTATTTCTTGCAACTGAAATGTATTATTTTATGCCTACTTAACACCCCAAGGACCTCCACTTATCAAACATTCCCTATAATACAAAGCCTGTTACATCTTTAGTTATTTCCTAGATCAATCTTCATTTCAGAGCATATATTTGTAATTAAACATCATGAATATGATCATTTGTACAACGTTGGCTTTATTAGATTACATTTATTTCTCTCCTTCAAACTTCTTGATTTCAGGGATTCGGTTTTATTTTTTTTCTTTGATTTTTTTCCCCTGGTATTATATCACCTGGGCTAGCATATCTTCCGGTACCTGCTAGATACTACGCACTCAATAAATGAATGCATTAATGAATATAAACTTGAATTCAAGGGTAAAAAAAAGATCAAATTTCCCCACAATATGACAGCAATTCCTGTTTCCACTGTTGCTCCAAAACTTGTGAAAACTAACCTGAGAAAACTAAATATTTTCATTTGCAATCCATCCTTTTGCTGTCATTTTGATGTATAGTCTAATCCTTCTCTCAGAGGTAAATATTTGTTTATGAGAAAACTGAATGCAATATTTTAAATTCAAGATAAAACTCAAGAATAAAGCAAACAGGAACAGTTTAAGTGAAGGGATATTTTCTCTGGGTTTTGAATACTGTGCTCCGGGTGTCATCAACAGGGAGAGAGAGTGTAGAGGAAGGACAGTGTTGTTTCCTGTAGTCATCTCTCGTTAAAGGTGAAGACATAAATTTCCTAAAAGTGGCCAACTAAGAATTTCCCTTTCGGGCCTCCCTCATGGTGCAAGGGATTAAGATGCAGCCTATGAAGCTATCTGCTGCCTCTGCAGCACAAGTTCAATCCCCAGCCAAGGAGCTACCCACATGGCACAGCAGACCTCTCCTGTCTCGCCCGCTGCTCCCCTCAGCAGTGTATTTCGGTCAGTCCGCCTGTTCTGTTCCCCCCTCTGTCTCTGGTGAATCCTCTCACACACCCCCACATCTCTGGCCTGTACCCCAGTTCTTGTATGATTAAATAAATAAAAATCTTTAAAAAATAAAAAGAATTTCACTTTCTCTTCCCTTTTTCTTTTGCCCTCTTCCCTTCTTCCTTCCATTTCTCCCTCCCTTTTCTCTTTTTCTCTATACACACTCCCATAGGTATGCATTTGTGTGTATGTGAGTGTGTGTACACTGGTTTCCTTTACCATCCAAAAGTAGAGCATTCCCATGGAATCTTTCATAAAACTACTTTGTTTAAATGGAAAAAATAATTACATTTATACGGAACATTTTTTGAGTGTTCCCAGGCAGGCCCCCAAAATAACCTACCAAATCAACCATAAAAAATCTAAAATAACTTATGAAAAAGCAGGAATGACAGGATAAATGCACACCCTGTAGGGCATAGTTCCCAGGGCAGGGGCTGGGCAGGGACCCTCGCTGCTCAGGGCACTGCTACCTCTAGCACAGCTGCTGCCAACACTGTGGCTATTTGTGTTTTTCACCTTTTGTCATAAAAGCAAAAATTCTCTTGAGATTTCTTTCAGTTAGCAAAAAAAAAAAAAATGCACTAATGTAGGGTTTTTGTGAAAGCAAAGTGTTGTGACATAAGCTTTTTAAAAGTGGGACATACATTTTAAAAACAGGGATAGCTCACTCTATCTCCAACTATCACCTACCTACCCACTGAACTACAGACACTGCATGACTACAAATATTATACCTAATATAAAATTAGAGTAAATTAACAATTATTTTTTTAAAAGACCAAAATCTCAGGTGTTCATTAAAAAACTTTCACACATTGACAATTAGATCAATAATCTCCTAATCAATAATCTCCTAATTTTTTCTCTACTCAAAAGCAGTAGTCTGGAAATATCTTTTATAATGTTCAAATATTGATAAGTCTCTGTGTAAATCTTCAGTATATGCAATCTCTTTGTGCTAATTTGTTACGTATATTACTAACCATGATTTTTTATTGAGTATTCTGATTTTCAAGTGTAAAAGTTCTTAACACAAAGTTACACAAAAAATATAAATATGAATTCTTTATCTCAGCCAAAGTTATCATACAACTGGAGTGATTTACTTTGTATCACATAAACCGAAACGTAATACTGAAAGTTA